TCTATGGTTAAAAGTTTAGTGAATCTTCAAGACCTCGTTGTTAAGAATTGTAAGATGATGGAAGCGGTAATAGTCACAGAAGATGGATTTGCAGAAGAAGAAAAGACCCAGAAGATATTTTTTCCTAATCTGCTAGTCCTGGTACTTGATGACCTTCCCAAACTCAAAAGATTCTGTTCTGGAAATTACATCGAATTCCCTTGCCTTGTGGTATTTGGAATGAGACAATGTCCTCTGTTGAAGGCGTTCACCTCTAGCCCTGTTATTGGAGACATAGTAGTCAGTACAGAGGAAGCTGAAAACAACTCCACACGGCCTCTATTTGATGCAAAGGTGATTTCTTCTTATTGTTCTTCCCTGTCTTACATTAATACTATTATAGTTTCACCTCTTAAAGCCTTTCCTTTTTAATTGGATTCTAAAGTTGAGTTTTTGTCTTTCTTATACTGATAAGTTGTTACTGCAATCGATAAATTATTTAGGTGGTGGTCCCTGTGCTAGAGATACTAGTAGTCAATCACATGGAGAGCTTGGACAAGATATGGCACAACCAACTTGATGCAGAATCATTTTGCAAATTACAAGTCCTTCAAGTAATTGGCTGTAAAACACTAGAGAGCTTTTTCCCATTTAGTATGCTGGAAAGGCTTCAGAGACTAGAACAACTGTTCATTAGGAGTTGTGATTCACTAGAAGAGATATTTGAACCTGAAGGACATATTGCTAGCTATTCACAAGCTCTGGTAGCCAGTCAGCCAACTTTGGTAGAAGCTGAAACCAAGTTGGTACTTCCAAAATTGGTAGAACTGGGGCTTGAAAGCCTACCCAAGCTCAAGGGTTTCTGCCATCCAATACACATTAAATGTCCATCTCTGAAGAAATTGGAGGTGTTTGGATTCCAGCAGCTAGAGATATTTGCTTTCGAATTTCCAAGCTTCCAAAGTACAACTAGTGATCACCAACTTGAGACTCGACAACATCCTCTTTTTTGGATCAACAAGGTACGAACTCTAAATATTTTACAATAATAAGGAGAAATCCCTTGTGCATGCGTGAGATGCACTATATTTTTAGTAAAGCTTTTGGTCTGAACATATTCAAATCGAGCAAAATGTATAAGCCACATGGTAATACTTATTTTTTCCAAACAAATTAATTCCATTTGATTGAATGATTAAGGAAATCAAATTTACCCAATTTATAAATGGAACTTTATAGAAAAAAATTATTAGTAAATATTATTTGCTAACTTTCATTCTAATATTTTATTCAAAATTTTAAACAAATGAGAATGGGTAGTACTATATACGCTGCTATTGAAATTTACTTTAAGGTGATATCCCTATCTATGTTAACCATGTAAATCTCTTATTTTAGCGGTGTCATAAGTATTCCTGAGTTGTGATTTGTCCGTGATGCACTTTATTTGTTAATGGAAAAGCTTTCCTTTTTTTATGAAAGAAAAATAAAACTTAACTTTTTCATTTCATTAAGTTTTT